GGGTTCAAGACCAGCCTGGGCAACTTGGCGAGACCTCATCTCCACAATAAATCAAAAAATTAGCCAGGTGTGGTGGCATGTGCCAGTAGTTCCAGCTACTGCTGAGGTGGAAGGATTACCTGAGTCCAGGAGGTCAAGGCTACAGTGGCAGTGAGCATGCCGCTGTACTCCAGCCTGGGCAACAGAGTGACTCCAACTCAAAAAATAATAATAAAATGTTCATGTGAGCCGGGTGTGGTGGCTCACGCCTGTAATCCCAGCACTTTGGGAGATGGAGGTGAGAGGATTGTCTGAGCTCAGGAGTTCAAGACCAGCCTGGGCAACTTGGCAAGACCTCGTTACTACAATAAATCGAAAAATTAGTCAGGTGTGGTGGCGCATGCTTGTAGTTCTAGCTACTTGGAAAGCTGAGGTGGAAGGATCACCTAGCCCTGCAGGTTGAGGTTGCAGTGGCTATGAGTGTGCAACTGCGCTCCAGCCTAGGTGACAGAGTGAGACTGTGACTCAAAAAAACAAAAACAAAACAAAATATTCATGTGGCTGGATGTGGTGGCTCACACCTGAAGTCCCAGTGCTTTGGGAGGCCGATGCAGGAGGATCACTTGAGCCCAGGAGTTTGAGATTGGCCTGGGTAACATACTAATACCCCATCTCTACAAAAACTGTAAAAATTTGCCAGGCATGATGGTACATGCTAGTGTCCCAGCTACTCAGGAGGTCAAGAAGAGAGGATCATTTGAACCCAGGAGTTTGAGACTCCAGTGAGCTATGATCATACCACTGCACATCTGTCTGGGCAACAGAGAGAGATCCTGTCTCTTTTTTTTTTTTTAAGTCTGCTAAAAAATAAAAAAAGCCCACAAGTTGGGTGCAGTGACTCACACCTGTAATCCCAGCACTTTGGGAGGCAAAGGTGAGAGGATTGCCTGAGCCCAGGGGTTCGAGACCAGCCTGGACAACTTGATGATACTTTGTCTCTACAATAAATTAAAAAAAAAAAAAAAAAATTAGCTGGGTGTGGTGGTGCACACCTGTAGTTCTCGCTACTTGGAAGGCTGAGGTAGAAGGGTCACCTGAGCCCAATAGGTTGAGGTTGCGGAGGCCCTGAGCTGTGAGCATGCCACAGCACTCTAGCCTGGGAGACAGAGTGAGACTGACAAAAACAAAAAAAACAAAAAAACAAAGCCCACAAAACATGTTTATGCTAATAAAGATTTATTCTCCTCAACTGCAGGAAGACTGAGAACATCTCTGTCCTCTGATGCATTTTGCCAGACCTGCTGTCAGGGAACTGTTGATTGTAAACAGAACAAGGCTTTGGAAGAAGTTGAGAAGTTAATGTCTTAGGTGAGAGATCTCTTTCCTCTTCTGAAGAGGGAGGGAGGCCCAGGCAGAGAACCAGCTTGGGTCAGTTTTCTAGGAGAAAAGTCTCTTTCTTTGAGAAGGACTAATCTACTCCCTGAGGTCAAAGGTTAATAGGAAAGGTTCCCAACACCAGTCACTGGGCAGATAGGCACTTGTATCCCCAATGCTGTCTGTGCCAGGCCTCTGGGTCATGCCTCCTCCTGGTTCTCTTTTGTCTTAAGGATCAGGGACTCCTGCCAGGACGCTTCCTTCCTCAGACTCACCAGGTTCTGTCCTTCCAGGATGAAAGGAGGAACCCCAAGAAACTTAGAATGAACTTAGTCCACATTTTGCCTCCGCATAACCATTTTTGCATAGAATGACACGCTTTGAATCTAGCACAGGTTAAATGTAGACAGATAAATTTCCAATAGGCAGGTTTTAGGAAGCGTTCAGACATTTTACTGCAGGCCAAGCTGGCAGCCTAACCCACCCCCTCTTCAAATCTCCATCAGATGCAAGACAAGGACAACCTAACCTTTCATTTCATGGCTTAGCATAATAATCTCTAAGAAACTTTTAAGCCCCTTAGCTGCCTGAAGCCATAGAAATGATAAAAGATCCACTTTTTGCTAAGGAGTTCATGGATTGCAAATGTCTGACAGGTCTCTTGCAGGAAAAACCCCTCCCCTTGTTTCCTTTCATCTAGCTCACCAATGAGGGCCATGAGATGCTAATGTCTGGAGTGTCAAGATCTAAGGCTACAATCGACATCGACATCGAAGATCCCCAACCCAGGACATTCCTTTTGGCCCAGACCCCTCTGGGCCCAAAACCCTTTTACCCCAAAGGCCCTTAAATATACCCAGTTCTTGGCCCTTTGATGCTACACTTTTCTCTGAGTGTCAGCCCCCTTGTCAATCTGTGAAAGGCAAATAATAAACTTTACTTCCCTCTACTTCTTACTTGGCTGCAATCTTGTATTATTCTTGCTGTACCGGCACCAGCCCACCTCACCTCAGTTTACCCTTTCATGGGACAAGAGTAAATTGTTGGAGATGGAGACTAGGATGCTGGGTTCAAGGGGAAAATGTCAACCTTCACTACAATAGGGTTGTTGATTACACTCTTCTCCCCCAGGGGAAGGTGTAGCCTTTGAGATGAGTCTGCACTAGTGAGAAGCGACTCTCAAACCCCAGCGCCCACAGGAGCCCGGCAGATGGTACAGAGGAGGGTACAGAGGGCTTGGCCAGCAGCAGGTCCAGAGGACAGGTGCCTGGATTACAAAAGGAACGATTGTTGCCTCTGCCCCACTGTGGGGAGTGTGAAGACAGGATCGCCAAATCTTCCCATTTTTAAGAAGAGTCAAAAATCTGAATGTTTAAGGGAATTTCCTAATTTCATTTTATTTTATTTTAGTCTTGCTGTGTTGCCCAGGCTGGAGTGCAGTGGCTCATTGTAGATCATAGTTCACTGCAGCCTGGAACTCCTGAGCTCAAGGGACCCTCCCACCTCCCAAAGTGATGGGATAATAGGCATAAGCCACCTCAGCTGGCTGAGAATTTCCTAATTTTAAGTGTTGGCTACAACTTGAGAAGTCATTGTTTAAAGCTTATGCCTGTCAAACAAAACCCCTTAGGCTCACTGCTGCCAGCCAGTGACCTCTGGATTTCTCTAAACCACTCACTGCTCTTTCCCCAGAGGCCTTGGGCAGGTCCTAGTTGACTCAAAGTAAGTGGGTTCCTACAACCGCTGCTCTGGCAGAGTTGAGCTACGTTTGGAACTAGGATTAAAGGATTCAACCTGTGGCTTGTGATTCAGGGGAGGAGTCTGTTTGGAAGCCCACGGAGGGTTGTAATAGTCCCAGCCTGACCTGCGGTCAACCTGCCTACCTTCTCGGGGCCCCAAGGAAAGAAAACTGACGACAGAGTCTTCTCATGTTTCCATGGAGATGGGCTTTGAGGACCCATGTTCTCAAGCTTCAGCACACATCAGAATCCCCTGTGTATCTTGTAAAAACACAGATTCCTGGACCCAACCTCAGAATCCTAATTCAGTGGCTCTATGATGGGACCTGAGAATCTGAATTTCCAACAAGTCACAGGTGACGCTGAAGTCACTGGTCGGGGACCACACTTAGAGAACCGCCATTGCAGAGGTTCCTGCTCACCTACTTTCCAGGTCCTTACCTGTATCAGGGTGGATGATAAAGAATCCCATGTGGTTCCCACTGGTGATGTTGAAGGTCAGCTTTCCTTGGGAGCTGGAGTCTGGGTCCCAGGCATCCAGCTGAAGCACGGAGCTACCCACGGGCGCGTCCTCCAGGATGGAGGGGTAGAACACAGCTCTGGACATCTGGGGTGGGTTGTCATTGACATCAGTAACCTCAATGTAGACTTCAGTCACTGATGAGAGGGGCACGGAACCCCTGTCCACTGCCAGTACCGTCAACCAGTAGCAGGATGCAAATTCTCGGTCCAGGGTCGCCAGAGTCTGAATCATTCCTGGACACATGAATCACCAAATGAAAAACACCTTAGTGCCCAACATGGCTTTAGAAATCACCCTAGTCACACCTAGAATCCTAGCACTTTGGGAGGCCGAGGTGAGGGGATTGCCCGAGCCCACAGGTTCGAGACCAGCCTCGGCAACTTCTCAAGACCTCATCTCAAAAATAAATCAAAAAAATTAAAAAAAAAGAAATCTCCCTAGCCAACATCCCCAAACTATACTGTGGAAAGGCATTAATTAATTCCATGAAAGAAGAAATTGTTACCAATATAATGTCAGAGATGCAGGCTTGAACACAGGGGAATTAATATCCTTATTCCAGAACCTCTCAGAACCTTTCTCTGCTAAAATGGGCCCATGCTTCTGGCATATGGGCATACTTAGGGTTTCCAGAAGGCAGTGGTGGCTGATCTTCTTTTCCTCAACCATTTCAATGCAAGCTCCATTGATTTAATTCATATTCTCCAAGTGACAATCTATAAGACAGAGTCTCATTGCTGTCCTTAGCCTCACACGCTAAGTCCTGGCAGACAATCCTTTTAAGGGTTGAGAATTATTGAATACATTGCTGTTCCTTCTCTATCGTTTTCATGATTTTAGGGGCTGCGCTTCTGTCTTTAGTTATCTCACTTCACAGATTGCCTCCTATGGCCGTCACTGTTCTGGAAGCTGAAGATCTAAGAGTGAGCAAAGAAAGCTTGCACCCTACGTGCTTGTGGAGCCCACTGTACTGGCAGGGCCCTGTGAGAGGGAAACTGAGACTCAGAAAGGGAGCATGGCTTGACTAAGATCATGTAGCAAGTATGTGGAAGAACTGGGTCTGAAATGGACGCGCCATCTGATGCCTTTTCTAATTAAACAGATTAATTAGATTAATCTGGGCATCTGTGGGTTTAATTAGATTAAGCTGTTTTCTTTCAGTGAATGGAATTGTTTAACAAAGATTGAAAGCCAACTCTGAGAACAAGTTATTATAACTTGGTTTTGGTGGAAATAAGTCACCCGCCAGATTGTAAACTCCTCAAAGGCAACGATCTGCCTTTCTTCACTTAAAGCCTGAGGACCTTACAAGTAGGGGTACTCAGTATGTGTTAGCCAAACTGCACTTATTTTCTATAAAGCTTAAAAAGAAGGAATAAGCTGCTGTCATCTTTTTGGAAAGCAATTTGGACTAATAATAACATTGAAAATGCACATTATCCTTAGGCGCAGAAACTTCATTTTTACGAGGTTTTCCTGTAGCGACTCATTCATATGAGTAAAATTATATAAGCAAGAATGTTATACCTTTAAGACAGAATAAGATATAGGCAATAAAAGGAAGAAAAGCTGGACGCGATGACTCATGCCTGTAAATTCAGCACTTTGGGAGGCAGAGGAAAGAGGATTGCCTGAGCCCACAGGTTTGAGAGCAGCCTGGGCAATATTGCGATACCTCGTGTCTACAATAAATCCAAAAATTAGCTGGGCATGGTGGTGCACGTCTGCAGTTTCAGCTACTTGGAAGGCTGACGTGGAAGGATCACCTGAGTCCAGCAGATTGAGGGTGCGGTGGCTGTGAACGCGCCACTGCACTCTAGCCTGGGTGACAGAGTGAGACTCCGACTCAAAAAAAAAAAAAAGAAAGCAAAAGATGTATCTGTACTGACAAATAAGAGGGCCTGCTGTTACATCATATTAAAAAAGTAAGTTTCAGAAGTAGCTTCCTATATTATATATTCATAATAATAAAATGAACAATGATAATATATCAGATACAAAAAAAGCAATGTAGAAGATTATAGACTAAATTGTTAATAAAGATTATATCTGGGGAGATGGGACACAGAGGGATATTCCTTTTTAAATTTTCTGCCTCAGTCTTCCAAGTAGCTGGAACGACAGGTGCACACCACCACACTGGGCTAATTTTTTGATTTATTGTAGAGATGAGGTCTTGCTAAGTTTCCCAGGCTGGTCTCAAACAAGTGGGCTCAAGCAATCTTCTCACCTCTGCCTCCCAAAGTGCTGGGATTACAGGCGTGAACCATCGCGTCTGGCTCCTTTTTAAAATTGTATATTAAAACTATATAACCAGATGTATTACTTCTTTAAACAGAATATGTAATATGTGTGCATGTAGATATGTGTGTGTGTATATGTATGTGTATATACACACACACACATATGTACATATATGTGCACATATATATTGCCAGTAAAAATAAATGAGAAATAACAGGGAGAGGAAGGAAAACACCTCTTGTCTTCCATCTCAGCCTGCAGCTTGACTTCTTTCCCCTTCAACCCTCCTTCCCACAGGCCCTAGCACCCGGTCCCATCCCAGTACCTGTATCTTGGTTGATGCTGAAAGCGGCAAGCCCAGTACCAGCCCGCAGGAAGTAGTGGAACTCCCCATCCAAGCCGCTGTCGTCGTCCTGGGCAGCCACACCCATCACTTGAGTTCCTGGGGGGCTGTTCTCCTGCACCTGGCCCTGGTGCACGAAGGAGGAAAAGCGGGGAGGGTGGAGGTTCTCATTCACATCCAGGACTGTCACCTCCACGTGGCAGAGGGTCCTACGGGCCAGGGGCCTCCCACTGTCACTGACCCATAAGCTCAGATTGTACCCGGCCCGTGTCTCAAAGTCCAGTTCCCTCTCCAGACTGAGCGCCCCGGTCACCAGGTCCACCCGGAAGGTCCCATGGACGTCGTCCAACAGGACGTATCGCACTTCCCCTCCAGGGCCCAGGTCAGGATCAGAGGCATCCAGAAAGGTCAAGATCGTTCCTGGGGGCAGGTCCTCTGGGACCTTCAGCCTGCTGAGCTCTGTGATACACTGGGGAGCATTGTCATTGACATCTTCCAACATGATGATCAGGTCAGTGACAGAAAAGAGCTGGTGGCCCTTCTTGGGCTGATCCCTGGCCTCCATCTTGAGTACATATCGAGGTTCCGACTCCCGGTCCAGGTGTCCTGTGACGACCAGTTCCCCAGTGAGTGGGTGCAGGGAGAACGTCTCTGTGGGGCTTAGCAGGGTGTAGCGAACTCTCCCGTTGTCCTCTGAGTCAGCGTCTCTTGTTTTCAGCTCCGCAACTGTGGTCCCAACTTCTGTATCCTCTGAGATGGTTAGGTGATACCCACCAGGAGGAAACCTGGGTGCGTTGTCATTCCAGTCCTTCACGTTCACCGTCAAAAGCTTCCAGGAGGACTTCTGGGGGGTGCCCAGGTCATACACTGTTACGTTGAGTATGTAGAAATTGGTGGCTTCATAGTCTAAGGGGGCCGCTACCTTGAGCATCCCTGTTTCCAGGTCTATGTCAAAGCGACCCTCCTCGTTGCCGTCTGCGACCACGTAGACCAGCTTGCCATTAAAGCCAGTGTCAGAGTCAGTGGCTGCTAGGCGGGCCAAGGGGGTGTTGACAGGAACCCGCTCCAGGACGTCAATGGACTGAGGGAAGTGGTCCTCAAACTGGGGGGTGTGATGATTAATCTGATACATGCTTAGAGAAGTGAACTCCTCATCGCTGGACTCCTGGCTCTGCAGCCCGAGGGAGTGAAGGATGGTCTTTGTGAACTGTGTCAACACCCCGGTTTTGTCACATGTTACAGGAACTTCCAAACGAGGGTCCTTCACCACAGTGATATTCAGAGTTGTGGGTGAGGCGTAGTGCTTGCCATCCGAGGCTGTGATTTTCAGGGAATAACTGGTGGGTTGACCGGCACTAAGATTCATAAAAGAGCGTCTGAGGGATATCACTCCGGAGAAGTGATTTAGATCGAAATAGTCTAGTTCATTGCCTGACACAATCTCGTATCTTAGGTTCTGAAGCTCATCCACGTCTATGGCGGACACGGTCGTGACAGATGTCCCCACTGGCCAGTCTTGGTGGAGAGATCCAGTGCAGTTGACTTCCTCAAACATAGGTTGGTTGTCATTCAAGTTCTTGAGCTGAAGAGAAACGGACACTTCCTTCTCCCGGCGAAAAGGGGATCCCCAGTCGGATGCTCGTACCCGGAAGGTATAGATTCTTTTCATGAGCTCATAGTCCAAGGGTTTGGAGGTAGAGATAATGCCCAGGTAAGGGTCGATGGAAAATGGCAATGTTTTGGGCCCAGCAATGGAATAGGTGACATATCCGTTCTCCCCATGATCTCGGTCAGTGGCAGTCACAGCCAGTACACTGGTGCCCGGAGGGATGTTCTCATCCAAGGTGCCATCATAAGAAGACATGTTGAAGGTAGGGGCATGGTTGTTACAGTCTACGATGTCAATGACCACTATGGTAGAGACCAGGCCCAGAGAAGTCCTGACGTGCAGCTCATAACGGGCTCTGTCATGGAAGTCCATGAGCTTGGTGGTGGTGATCAACCCACTGTGGGCATTAAGCTTAAACCCCGCACTCTCTGAGGATGGCTTTAGAACATACTGCAGGTTGGGGATGGCTGGCGTGACTCCCACCATCACCACGCGGCTGCCGGGAGGGGAAAACTCACTCAGCTGCACCCTGTAAACAGCCTTCTCGAATCTGAGGGAAGCCAGTTTGGAAGCGGGTAGGTGAAAGCCCCTGATCTGTGAGTAGAAAGAAGAGCCATGCCCACTCCTGGCCTGGAGACTGAGGTTGAACCCATGTGGATACTCCATCCAGTTGATGTCTTTGACAGACACCAAGCTGAACTCACTGCTCCGGGCATAGGACTTGATGGCTTTGAAGTGCTTTCCAGGGTCACCACCAACAACTTCCACCGAGTCCACTTCAGTTCCTGAGCTGCTAGCATCGACCACGACAGTGGCATAAGTGGTACTGTCGTTGCTGTCTGGCAGAGTCACCACCACTGAGGTGATGACCGGGGGCTTCCTGGGGGCGGGCTCCACGTGGATGACGAGTGCAGCTAAGTTGCCAAACCCATTGCCCTCGGAGATCTTCCGCATGCGGTCCACGGCTAGCACCTGGAGCTCGTACTTCCCCCGCCAGGTGACATTGAGCTTGCCCGCCACGGTGACCACGCCGCTGGTGGGATGGATGGCAAACATCTCGGACCGCGTGTTTAAAGCATAATAGAACTCCGCGTTCTGGCCCAGGTCGGCATCTGTGGCAGTCACCTTGCAGATGGGGCTCTTGAGGGGCATGTCCCCAGAGATGGTGACTCTGTAGGAGGGAGGGGAGAAGAGTGGCTTCAGGTCGTTCTGGTCCAGGATGTGGACCACCACGCGGGTCAGAGCCTCCAGCTCTGAGGTCTTCTCTGTGGCCTGGACGATGAGAGTGTAGCTGTCTTGCACCTCCCTGTTCAGGAGAGCCGTGTTGCTGTTCTTGGTCCTTATTCTCAGGAAGCAGAAGTTGCCCACCACGTGCTCCTCGGCCTTAAACACGTTGGCCACATCCCCGGAGATGATCCGGTACCTCGCAGCCCACTGGGGCTCTGCGAGGTAGATGCCCATCTTCTCGGCGCTCTCCACGTAGGTCTTGGGGGCGGAGTTTTCATAGATGGTGGCATTGTAATGGGAGTGTGTGAAGCGCCAAGCAGAGGAGGGGATGGTCTCTTCTGCGGGCTCCTCACAAGTCGCACCTTGGAGCAAGACAGCAGCAAAAGCTAGCATAGCAACAGTCATGGTGGAAAAACTCCTGAGACCCTGGGCAAAAAAAAAAAAGAAAGGTGCAGACAAGTTAGGAAATAAATAGTTCCCACTGCTGTGGCTCTTTATTTTTTGTGAGTTGGAATCTCACTCCGTCGCCCAGGCTGGAGGGCAGTGGCACGCTCACGGCCACTGCATCCTCCATCTGCTGGGCTCAGGCAATCCTTCCGCCTCAGCCTTCCAAGTAGCTGGAACTACGGGCACGTACCACCACGCCCAGCAAATTTTTTTATTTATTGTAAAGATGAGTTCTCGCCAAGTTGCCCAGGCTGGTCTCCAACCCGTGATCTCAGGCAATCCTCTCACCTCAGCCTCCCAAAGTGCTGGGATTATAGGCGTGAGCCACCACGCCCAGCCATGCTATGGTTCTTAACTGAAGATGATTTGACTCTTGGGGGATATTTGGCAATGTCTGAAGATATCTGTGGCTGTCCCGGCTTGGGGGGTGGGTTGGTGCCACTGGCATCTAGCAAGTAGAGTCTGCCATGCTGCTAAACATCCTACGATGCCCAGGACAATTGCCCACAACAGACTCATCCGTCCCCAACGTCAAGTGTGCCGAGGTTGAGAGACCTCGTGGTTGAAGAACAACAGACTAGTTCAAGATGGTCTCCAAGGGTACATGGCAGCTAGAACACAGTCCTGAACTCTTACCCTTTTTCCAGAAACTTTCTGTGACTCCCGGTGATGGTGAAATAGTCTCAGCTCCTAGCCGGGAGCCCAGTTTAGCCATCTGGCTCCAAGTCCCTCCTCCCTCTGTCCTTCCCAAAAGGCCTCTCCGCCAGGGCTGAGCCCCAGCCACTCAGAGCTGCTTCTGCACATGCAGGGGCTACAGGAAAGCAAAGTGACCAAGATCACAGGCTGACATCGGGTCGCCTGGCCCTCAGGCCTGTCTTCACTGCTCTCTAGGTGGGTGGCTTTCTGGGCCATTTATCTAACCTCTGCGAGGCTCACTTTCCCCTTCTGTAAAATAAGAATAAGAATATGATCTATTTCATAAGATTGTTGTGAAAATTAAGTGAAATAAGGAAGGCAGAGTGTCTGGTTTATTGTGAGTTTTAAGTTCATATTAGCCACTATTAATAATAGGAAACTAAGGTTCATGGAAGGGAGGGTGCTGCCAGGGCCTTATGGCTGCTGGGAACTCCTGGGTCACAGGCCAGGGCGGCTTCCCTGGCCCAGTCCTGCCTACACCAGTCCCACCACACGTCCCTATGCAGGGTCTGGTTTTGACTCATTGTATAACCCCGGACCCTGGAAACTCCTGGGCTCCCAGGATGGCAGAGCTGAAACAGACACTAGAGAGAATGGAGCTCTGTTCTCGCTCTTCTTGCATAGATGGGGAAATAGTGCCCCAAAGCGGGAATCAGCCTTGCCCCCAAGTCACACAGTAGATGGCCAGGTAAGTCCCCAAGGGCCTGGCATGGTGGTTCACACCTGTAATCCCAGCCCTTTGGAAGGCCGAGGTGGGAGGATTACCTGAGCTCAGGAATCTGAGGGCAGTCTGGGCCACATAGTGAGACCCCGTCTCTGCAAAAAATAAAAAAAATTAACCAGGTGTGGTGGCACACACCTGTAGACCCAGCTACTTGGGAGGCTGAAGTGGCAGGATCACCTAAGCCCAGGAGGTCAAGGCTGTAGTAAGCCATGATCATGCCATTGCACTCCAGCCTGGACAACAGAGTGAAACCCCAGACCCCAACGACAACAAAATGAATTCTCACTGAACTACCCATGAATGAATTCTTTGCCCCTCTGGGAACTGCTGCTGCCCTGTTGTTTCCCTTGCTGTTTCCCATGGAGTCCAGTCCTGAACTCCAGCTTGGATCAAAATGCGAGACTCATCGGGGTCAAAGATGGGGCTGGGGGTGGG